TTACTTGTTATTCAAAGAATTTATTTGAATTGTTATTCGAAGATTTTATACGATTTGTTATTCGAAAAATTTATTCGAATAAAACTTATTTCGAAAGATTAGTCAAATAAAATTTTGTTCGAAGAACTTATTCGAAATAACATGTTAGTCGAATAAAATTTTATTCGAAGAATTTATTGGAATCGTTATTCGAATAGAACTTCATTCCTACAATTTATCCGAATCGTTATTCGAATAAAACTTGATTCGAAGAATTTACCCAGATAAATACAATTTTATTCGAAGAATTCATTCGAAACATTAGTCGAATAATATCCGAAGAATTGATTCGAGATGTTGTTCGAATAAAATTGTATTCGAATAACGCCGAACTCTGGTGCAGTTTCTTCTTGCGAAGAAACCACCTGACGGATGGATTCGCCGAAAATATTTTATTCTCCGACCCGGCAACAAACGGCGGCCATGATGGAGAAAAGACTTCCATCATTTCGAAGCAGAGTGCGATAAAATGGGATTGCGTGGCTCGTTATCGCCATGAAGGAAAGACAGGGGAAAGCCGCAGTTGTGATGGTACTCAACTGAATGATCGGAATGAATCGCCGGTACCGCATTTCCATGGGATCTCCCCGGGATCTTATTCTCGCCCTATCCCGGCCTGTTTCCGTGCAGGGCCGATTCTAATCGAAATTTATTGAAACTTGAATCGATTCGGTGCGTACGTGCCAGAGGCTGCGGATCCTCTGGGGGCTATTACGCGAAAGGGAAATTTACTGTGTCTGTATTCGTGGTATCCAATTTGAACCTCGTAATGTTAATGTATGTATTGTTCCGTGTCTCAGACGGGTCGCGGGATTCTAAAAGCGAACGGGAATTCAGCGATATAGCAAAATATGCCCATATTTCAATGAGACATATTTTAGGCTCAACCCACCGAGCCCTATAAATAACTTAAGTTTGCTTTGTAACGACGATAAGACTGTACTTATTTAGACTTTACAGATTGAGAATTATAATATTGAAGAAATGTCATTCATAATTGTAGGAACATTAAAGCGAAAAAATGTGAAAACGGTCATTTTGATCGGCTCTGTCGCTTTAATGTTAGGTAGCGTTTTGCCGACGCGCACGAATCGTATCTGTACGAGGTGATACGACAATCTAGACCGCGGATTTTATGCATTTACGATAAAACTGAATAGATGAAACGCAAAATGACAGTGACATTATCGGAACGATATCATAATCGGATTATGTTATGTCCAATGTCGACGTTTAATTTGTACGTGGTACAGTCGAGGGCTACGTTGTTTAATCTGCGTTATTTGTGAACATTTAACCGTGATCTTAATGTGGCTCAGAAGCCAATCTGATCTTGCAGATTAGCTGTAAAAAGATAATGCCACTAACAATGAAAAGCACAATTTTTGTCATAAGATGGCATGCAAATGAACTTGACCAGAAGGGAAACAGAGAAAACCTTGTCAATGCTTTATTTAGAGAACCGAAATTAATTAATTTCGT